CATTTATATTTTTATACACAAATGATAGTAGGATAATCATTTTTTCAAATTTTAGGGGTGTCCCTCACTATCAATTATATTTTTTTGTCTAGACGTAAATTACCACCGAAAGTTGGATAGTCATTTTCCCGAAATTTAGGGGTGTCCGGGGACACCCTTGAAACCCCCTGGGTCCGCCACTGCCGCCAGCAAGTGTCTGCGGGTTCGGTTTTTCGGTTTCAACTCGAGAATGTACATGTCGGTTTCGGTTTCATAAACCCGAAACCCGATAGGGAACCCGAAAAACCGAACAGTTTCTTAGTTCCTACGGTGACGTTTTGTTTGTAGGGATCTTTCGCAATTCGACAATTGAGCTCTGAGCATCGCGCGCGGCATCGCCATTCGCCACACATACCCATCACCAACCCTACCCTGCAGGCTGCAACGCAGTCAGAGACTCCCCCATCGCCGGCGAACTCATCCGTTCGTTCAAGATCGAAGCATGGAGAACATTGAAGAAACAAGAAGGAAGAATTGTTGGAATGTAATATTTTGTCTTTGAGACCTATTCTTGTATCAATTTGATTTAGAGTTTCCAAGTATAATAAAGAACTCGTTTTCCATATACTAAGAGTGGACTTTACGAGCCAAAACTGTTATGTATTACTGGAAGCAAGTATAATAAGAACTCATTTTCCATATACTAGCTGATGTTCTGTAGCCTTGAAGCAAGGCATATGATATAAAGCAAACAAATGAAGAAGAGACTAGATAATTTCTTGCTTTCTAGACATACAGAGCCATAAAAATATTCTCCTGTTCTAGTAGAGTATTGCAAAAGGGCCACTCGTAAAGATATATATAGAAAGCTCTTTGAACTTGGGATGACATTCAATCTAACGCTTGACACTTGACAGTCGTACCCAAAACCATGTGGCAACTAACAAACACGAGCTCGCTTTGTTTAAAGTGTCGTCCCTCTACAACAATTACAAAAATTTCCCAACCATCAACCGGCAAAGCAGGCAGAGACTCTGTCAGCAGTAAAACATGAAATCTGAGAAAGAGTAACTGAAATGGTGGGACTTTTGAAGCCTAAATCCAGCACACAAAGAATACGCCAACAACTCAAAGCCTTACGACTTCAGATCAGTGCCCCTACTATGTCATACGAAAGAAAGGTGTAGTTTCAACCTATCCCATTGGCCTGTTCTGCCGTGCTCCCTTTTCAGTGCGCAATCAGTACTCAGCATCTCCTGAACCTCTACTTCATAACCAGTCTTCCAGCAGTCTCTTAGTTGGATATACTTTACAACATATCCAAGGACACTCTCCTACATCACTGGAGACCAGGTTAACTGATGAGAAGTGGGTGTAACCAGCCAATCCATATCTAGCCTGCAAGCTTATCATAGAAGTTGGAATAGTATTCAAGCTAGACTCTGTAACCTTGATCCCGACCTACTTCAGTCATCAAGAAGTTTTAGTAAGATTGCAAATACTTTGCAGAAACAGAATTTCTCTTATGACATTCACTATCAGACGATGTTGGATATGGACAGTTCCACTCTGAAACCATCCATTACCACCACCCAATGACGTCGACTTGAGAAAAGTTGGACCCTGATGGTTTGGCTAAAGTTTCTGTACTGATGGAAAAGGTATCTCAATCAACATTTCAAGCTCTGCATCCATGATGGATCAATCGTTTATCGCCGTACTGATCCTCTAACAAGAGAGTCGATGCTGACTGACCTCACTGCTCACTGCTTCAAAACGAACAAGTTTATGATTATCCACCCCATATCTATCCCGCTGCAGTAACAGTACAACACACACCCAAAATACTGTTTCCCTAATACCCACCTCAAACTGCTTCGACAAGTTTACCTAAAACGGCTATGAGCTAGCTAGCTAGTCTCCAGCTGAAGTGTTGTAACGCAAAAAGTCCCTTGAAAGTCCACTTGCAGTCTCTAATTTCATCAAATTGGCTCAAACTACAAACTAAACCTGATATCAATATCGTACCAATCACAATCATAAAAATCACACAAAAGCGAAGAAGCCTGTTGAAATCCAACGTATCCGATGAAATGCAATCAGGTTGATTTGGGATCCATAACCTTTCTGGCAGCCATATTCTTCCTAGCAGCTCTCGCATTGTCGTACTCAAACTGCAACACATTAAGGATGTGGGAGGTATCCTTCACATAGAACATCCTCCCGAATCTGCTCTCCTCAATCGCGGGGAAGTAGAAGAAGATGGCCGAATGGACCACCCAAAACCACATCCCGCCGAGCACAAGCCCCAGCGACGCGCCGGCGAACACCTGCGCCACCGTGTGGTAACCCAAATACACCGAGAGTACATGTCCATAACACTGGCGGATAGGGGGTGGCCACCCCAGGCCCCGGCCCAGCCCTCTTTTGGATTGGTAGTTACTATAATCCTTATGAAATTTTTAATTTTAGACATTCGACTCAGTGTTATTCTATGATAAGATTGGGTTTAACTAGAAAAATTATAAAGTTGAACATATTCAAATCACTATTCTAAATTTAGTCTAGAAATTTTAGCCCCAAAGATTATGCTTTTGAAATAAACAATAAAACCTAAAATTCTAAAAAATTTAAAACGTAAAAGACTAAAAGAAATATGAGGTTTGTTCCCTTACAAATTTACTAAAGCAGCTGGTGTGCAGGGATGGACGCACAATGCAAATTGATTAGTCGATTGATTTATCTAGTGTTGATGCTGCTCGTTTCAACAACTACTATGAAGAGAACCTTTTTAACAATGAAACATGTGAGAACTGATTTGCTCAACAAAATGAGCGATGAATTTCTCGCTGATTGCTCAAGTATTTTATTTGAAACAGTGTATACTATTGGTATGGATGTAGCCATTATTGATGCATTCCCTAAATTAAAATACAGTCGTGTACAATTTACATTGCAAAAAACCATAGTCATTATATTTTTTTACGGTTCTAATTTTCTAATGAAATGCGGCCCAAGGCTCTTCTGTGTTCTGGATCCTCCGCTGGTCCATAATGCATAGTATTTTTTTAATTTTCTGCACACAAAAAAAATACATGCATTGTTTGTTTGATATGACACAAACTATCACTCAAAATGAGTGATAGTTAAATCTCAAGTTTTGGTTTAGATTGTTGAGATTGTTTAGTAGAGATTGTTGGATTTTGTTTTGTTTCAACTATGTCCCTACCTTTTTATTTCTTTTGCTTTTTTATTATTTAAAACAAAAGGCAAAAGTGACATTTCATCCAAAAAGTAATATAACTTATTTCAATATTTGAATAACTATCACAGAAACCAAACGTTGTAAACTACTATACACCAATTTTCTTATATACATGTATATTATTATGTATGCATTGATGACAATGCATAACTATCACCAAAACCAAACGACTCCTAACGGGTGAATAAGTCTCTTGTAGCTCTTAGAGTTGAACACACCAATCTAACGGTTAAAAAGTGGGAAGCGATTTTTAATTAGTGACATGAGTAGTTTGAGTATTATGAAAAATTGCAAAATATACAAACCGTACTTACAAACAACACAAATTAGAGCGACAATTAATACAAACAAATTTATAAACAATAGGGTGAATACCTTATTCTGACTCGAACTATGACCATACAATCAACTTTGGCCCGTGGTTTGATAAATTAACATACTGACTCGAACTATGCAGCATATAGTCTCAATTGGCCAGAAGACTGGAACAGACGGTCAACATCGTTGGCCGTTTGTCAACTGTCCGGTCACTCTCATGTAAGCACCAAACAAAAAAAAAATCAAAATTCTTTTATTATTTCCTTTATCTAATTAAAAAATAATGAAAAAAATAATTTCGGCCCTTCCTAGAATCGGCTGGATAGATTTCCTCTCTCGTCTAAACCCTATCCACAAAAAATCATTCTTCTCCGACCACCCGCCACCTCCATATCTCAAACGAAAAACACAACTCTCTTCTTCTTTTCTACCAGACCTAGACCCCTCTCGCGGTCTCTTCTTCCTTTCTATCATACCCAGACCCCCTCCAGCAATAATGTCCAGTCGAGTTAGGAAAATCGCCAACCAAGGTTCATCCCCTTCTGGTTCGTCAAACACGAAGCCATAAGATGCAAAGACCACAAAACCCCTTGCGTTGTCACCACTTCTTGCACAGACAACAATCCTATAAGATTGTTTTATTCTTGCTCGTTTTGGAAGGATGAAGAGAAGAACTGTCACTTTGTTCGCTGGGTTGATGCAGCGACAGAAAGCGACTTTAAGCTTGATGGGCTTATGGAAGAGAATGAGCAGCTGAAGTCGACATTGGAGGCACTTGAAGGACGGCTTCGTAGGGCATAAGAGAAGGAAAATAAGAGGAAACAACAGAAGTTGGAAATGCTTGAAGACTTGACGAATTTGACCGAGATAAGTTCATCTAGTTTTGGTGAATTGTAAAGTATGAGAAATGCGATTTGTGTGCTACAAAAACGGCTAACTGTTTGTGTAATATTTGTAGTCATGGTCCTTTCTGTTTTGATGCTTGTCCAATTGTAAGCTTGTTGAACTGTAAGCTTCATGTCTAATTTGTGTAATTTTCGATGAAATCAAAGAACTGCTCTACTATCAAGCCGGGGTGAATGCACTTCAAGTGAGGAGTGTGAAGGTGGTTCTGGAGGTAGCCACAGGAGAATAAATAGAGAAGGAAGAGTCCAACAAGGAAGAGACCACCCCGAAAAGGAGAGAGAAGAAGCCCTCGAGGAATGAGAGGAAGGCGGCAAGCAAAGCATTGTCGGAGGATGGATATGTGCCACCTCTTCCTTATCCCACAAGGATGTACAAGGAGAGGTTGGACAATGAGTGTGGAGGGTTCATGGAAATGCTACGCAACCTCCACCTCAAAGTCCCATTCCTCGAAGACATGGCGCAAATGCTAAGATATGCCAAGTAACTCAAGGGATTCCTCATCAAGAAGCCAAGGCTTGAAGGCCTCGCCAACATGACTCTTGGCGAAGAGTGCTCGGCTTTCCTCCTCGACCGCTTTCCCAAAAAGCGGTCCAACCTAGGTAGCTTTACTATCCCTCTTGATATTGGTGATCACCATATAGACAATGTCTTGGCGGACCTAGGAGCTAGTGTGAATGTGATGCCCTACAAGCTTTTCAAAAAGTTAGAAGTAGGTGAACTTAAGACCTCTAAGCTTAGCATCACCTTAGCCGACCGTTTGGTCATTAGCTCGAGAGGTATAGTGGAGGACATGATGGTGAGAGTGGGCAAGTTTTGCTATCCGACCGATTTGGTGATTCTCGACATAAGCGAGGACTCGGATATGCCCCTCATCCTCGATCGTCCCTTTCTTGCAACCACCAAGGCATTGATAGATGTTAATTAGGGAACTGACAAGCTAAAACACAACACCAAACTGCGAACAAGTGTAATTGTAGTCCAGAAATGCTGACTAGTGGCAAGTTATATTTGTCAACCCGGGGTCTAGATCTACTGCCTACTCCGTGATTATCTATTATCTAGCAAACTAAGTCGAGTTATTGTGATTTTAAGCAAAAGCAGTAAGAAAGTAGGAAATGGTTCAAAGTTCTTTAGCAAGGGAAGAGTCACTCGGGAATGAGTCCCCCTAGCTCCTTAGTTAGGTCAAGGTTGTAATTAACCTGGGTTTATTAACTGTTGATTAAACTGTGGAAGATCCGACAGTAGCTTGGAATCTCCTAAGTTGACCAAGCCCTCTCGGGCAGGCTAACCGGCAGGCGACTAGCCTTCACCGGGATAGACTGCTGAGGCAATAAACGCAGAACTCCACTACTAGAATTAGATTCCAGTACAAAGCATTAAATTGATTAACTCTCGTATAACCAATCTACCACTACCGATTGATGAAGCTCTAACAACCTAATCAGATTCTATCTATCTCAGGTTGCAACAGAAATCAAGAAAAGATGATCAGGCTTCAATTGACTCAATGAATCATGCATCAATCGATTAAAATCAATTAATATATCAATTCAAAGTTATTACAATCAAGATCCCTAACACATGGAACTAGGGTTCTTCATACCCAAGTGAGAGAAGGTTGTACTCCATAGAGAGAGAGAGGAAAACAGAAATCAGAGCAGTCATACTCATAAAGATGGGGATAATCTGCTCTGGGATGTCGATCTCTCTCCTGGGGATGCAATATGGGCTTCAATGGTGAGAAATCCACTCCAAATAGCTCCTAGGGTATCTTCTTCAGACTTTCTCTCTCTAAAGCTGTGTTTTTTGCTGAAAAACTCGATCCCTCTCCAAAAGACCCAAAATTGGGTTAAAACCCAGAATTTCCCAACTACACAGCCAGGCCACACGACCGTGTAGAAATCCCAGTTTCCCGTGTGGATATGTAAAATGTCGGGTTTCACTTAAGTGGTTTCATGCACGTCACACGGCTAGAACTGCACGGCCGTGTGAAATCTCGGCCTGCCTGTGCACCATCTCTTTGATTTCCACATGACCTCAAGGGACCCGGTACACGGCCAGTGTGGTTTGCCCGCGCAAAGGAATTCCACACGGCCACGCCACACGGCCGTGTGGCTGTTAGGTCTGCCCTTGTGGTTTCCTCAGCTTCTCGCCAAACATCCAATCTTCGTTTAATCGATCCCGAACTCGTTCCCAAACCTCCATTCACATACTACGACCAAAAATATCACAAACAAGAACAACCTAGCGTGAAATCGGCCTAAGATACGAGAAATGAAGCTCGAACGATATAAGAATGGTGGACAAAAACATGTGTATATATCAACTCATCAAATTCCCCCACACTTAACCGTTTGCTTATCCCCAAGCAAACCAATTCTGATACAAGGTAAGCTCAACACATTTCAATCATACCAACTTTGGGGGCATATCATATAGGCACAAAACACGTGAATCATACTGGATTTTGATCATTGACACATGGACAACTTCTACAACAACCTAGACAACCACCAAAGAGGACATTCGAGTGCAGCAAAATCGTGTAAAGGAAGAGGAATCTTTTTTGTTCACCAACCAACATAGACTCGACTCAACCACTTAACCGAGACAGTCATCGCATGCATCAAAATCAAGACGTCAGAATCAAGACCGAGCCATCTAGGTCGTCACCGGGGTAAAGAGCATAAAGAACAAGGAAATGAAACACTCACTCTCGACCAGTGGGGTCGGGACAATTTGATGCGAAAAATGTGCATGCTTATTCTCTCTAATCCTAACGTCTCTTCACCATGATGGCAACCTCTAAATGTTAGAGTTCACATAAGGGATGTCACCACTAACTAATCCGGAGGTCTTAGACACAGGTTCAAGTGACTGGCTAGGGTCTTGGACATGGGGAAAAAGCCTTTTAGGTGGTGGAAGTATTCATAGCATAAGGTTCCACAGTTCCAAACCCAACACATTCACAACCACTCAAACCCCTTACTTTCTTTCTGCCATTCTGCATTACTCAAATTCTTTAGAGCACCAGAGCGAAGGAGATCACAATAATGTTAGTATTTCTAAGCCAGACTGCTAAGAAACACTACTTAATAAGCATGATTCAGATTTTTGGTAGTGGCTCTCTTTTGCTTTCATTCATTTTTTTCATTTCATTTCCTGAGAGAACCACCACCTCTGCACATTTTTCAATACATGCCCAACTTTTAAGCACTACCTCCAACCCTCACATTATTTTTAGCAGAAACAGCTAAGAACAAGCAAAAACCACTCTATGGAACCTTCTAAGAGATGCAAAAGGGTGATTTTCCAATGTAGACCGAAGAAAGGAAATTACATGGCTCAAAGGGGCTAACTAGGGGGTATAACACAACAGGACAGTTAATTTGGTCGTGGGCTATTCCTATGCCTCCATCATCTTAGCTAGTGACAACGTGAATGCTACACATCATGGTAGAGGGATCTATCGCACAAGAAAGAAACGAGCAGGCTCAAATCTCACATGGCTACCTATATGCTATATCTCTCATTCTAATTCCCTAAACTAGATGCATAAACGACTGTCAAGAGCAAGTGATCAATCCAAGTCACAATTGGTAAGCAAACAGTTGAAAAACTGAACCCCTACACAACTCTACTGCACGTCTCAGTCATCAATATAGGTTGTCCTAGGCACAATCCAGTTGTCATGCATCAATTCGAAAGCCATTCGATTCACCAATCAAACCCACAGTGCCAATATGATCATGCAAACATCAGTACTTGGAGCCCTCAAATCTCGAGATTTGGACAACAGACTAGGCTCCAAGCACACATATATAGATTCCAACCAATACAAAGCACCCCCCACCCACACACTTAAGTTAGACATTTCCCTCAATGGAGCAGAGGGAAGGATAAGGGGAACGATGTTACCGTAAGGAAAGACTGCCGAGGGATTGGAAGTGGACCAGTCAGCGGGGGACAGACGGGACAATGGAACAATTTTGCACGAAGGGAACATAAAGAACACACTAGCACACTGTGCTAGGATCAGAGTTAGCCCAGATGGCCACAAAAGAAAAAAAAACACACAAAAGACTCAGTTCAAGCTCTGCACACACATGGAGCAAACAAGAAAAGTCCAAAACAAAAACACACTCGAAGGGGCGATGAGTATAGACTACTCGAAGGGGCGATGAGTATAGACTACTCGTCGCCAAGGTTGTCGAGGTCGATGTCGTCCATGAAAGCATCATCACTGGCTGGCGGGGGTGGGAGTGGGGAGTCCTCCAGACTGGCTGCTCGCCCGGTATTAGCTGGAGCATGTGCTGCTGGACCTCCTGCATACGACGAGCCCGTCCATGCTCCCTCTCTATGTGAGCAAGTTTCACCTCCTGCTAGGCCTCCATGCGGTCGAGGCGCTCATCATATGCAACCATCTTAGTGTTATACTCGGCTTGGTGAGCCGAGTACTGCTGCTGGAACTGGAGATGATGCTCGAGGAGCTGCTGATTCTGGAGATTCAGCTGCTGGAATTGGTGAGTGAAGTAGTCATGGGATGGAAATGTTGAGCTACCACTCCCATGCTCATATGTGGTATGGTAAGGGGCGGTGTGGGCGGCAGCAGCGTCCACATCATCGGGGTGGACATCCTCGGTGGCAGCATCCTCAGGAACTGCGGGTTGATCCTCCGCATGGAGGGGTGGAGCAAGAAACCCCTCAATCCACTTGACGCCACGCTCAACTCGCAGCAGGTGCATCTTCGAGATCGTGTCTTCTCCAAAGAAACAAGTGTCCCCCTGCTCTATGCAACCTTGATAGGGGATCTGGAAATAGCCTGCCAGGCGGGTTATGAGTGGGGTGCAGTGTGTTGGAGGAAGCTTTGTCCACTGGCATCGATAAGAAATGGGAAGCTGGATCGGAAAACACTGAGCTAAAACCAAAAGAGGAAAGGATTAATGAGGCGAGTAATTAAGGGAAATCAGGCAAAAGATTGATTCTCCAGAATCAGAAGGCAACAGTTAGAAAAGTAGAATATAAAAGAGCAGAGTCTGAGTAGTCAAGGAAGCCTTTCGATCATATCTTTCAATAGCAGAAACAAAAGGGGATTGACTGTGTATTGGAAAGAAAAAAGAGAGGTAGCTGTCAGGGAGATAGTGAGAGTAGATAGTGATTGGAATTCTGGCGGGGAGCTGAATTCTTATCAGAAGCTCTGATCAAGTAACGGGGAGTTACTAAGAGATGGCTTGTAATCTGTCATCCGAATCACAACATCATAGTAACGTCAAAGGGCTCAAATCAGAGTTCCTTTGACCGTGGACTAGTCGATACTGATTTATCAGTATCGGAAACCACGTAAAAATCTCTGTGTCGATCACTGTCATTTCAATTTTGTTTATACCTTGATTCATCTCTTTTTTTGCAGCATAGTTTGTTTTGCAGGTTTATAGGAAGAACAGAGACACAGCAGGTTGAAGACATAAACCATACGCTTCTGTTTCGAGTGGGAGTTTGTCGACAGGCTTTGCTAAGGAAACGTTTGGGCTTTCAGCCCAACAACAAATCCGATCTTCTTACTTCATTTCATTTCAGATCAAACTAAACATTTACTTCGTTTTATCGCCTTGCTAATCTTTCGTGCGATTTACAAAAGTCTAGGGTTCTTGTAGGAGAAACTCGAAAAGTCAGCCGCATCCTCGCGCTCGTCTGCACCAACAAGTGGTATCAGAGCCCGGCTCCGACGAACTAGGCTTAACCACCTCCGTAGATGAGTTCAAGTGCAAACACAGGAGGAATATTCATGGCTGATGGCTTTTCTCAAACAGGACCACCACTTTTTGAGGGAGTGCATTACGGATACTGGAGAAATCGTATGGAGCTATTTATTGGCTCAACTGATCCGGATCTTTGGAACATCGTGCTTGACAGTCCTCTTGAAGTTAAAGAAGTCAGAGGGAAATGGATTGACGAGGATAAAAGGAATATCCAACTGAATTCGAAGGCCACGAACTTGATGTATTGCGCCCTTGGTCCTGAAGAATATCATCGAGTTTCGGGATGCAAGACTGCGAAAGAAATTTGGGACAAACTCCAGATCGCTCACGAAGGTACTACCCATGTCAAGATCTCTAGGATAAATGTCCTCAAGCAAGAGTTCGAACCCTTTGTGATGAAGCCTGACGAGACTATCAAGGAGATGCACGATAGGTTTACAACCATCGTCATTAGTCTGAGGAATCTGGAAGTTGAGTACACTAGTGCTGATTTAGTTCGAAAAGTACTATGGGCGTTGCCAAAGAAATGGACGCCCAAGGTTACAGCGATAGAGGAATCAAAGGACTTAACTAAGTTAAGTTTGGATGAACTAATGGGATCATTGGTCACACATGTAGACAAGCTGAGACGAGAAGAAAATGAGGAATCAAGAAAGGAAAGACGAAGCATTGCATTCAAGGTTTCAGAGCCAGAGGAAGAATTCGACAAGTTGGAGGATATGGAGGACGATGAATTGGCTATGCTAAGCAAGCACGTGGCTAAGCTGCTCAGATTGAGAAAAAAAGGAGAAGAAACTTAAATGGTCGTGCAAAGGAAGCTGACTCGGACAAAGATCAAGTCAGGCATTCCAGACAAAGCTCAAGGTTCAGAAAAGATCCAATTGAAAAGAGTGCCCCTCAAGCAGGGTGTTTTAAATGCGGAAGGAGTGGGCACATTAAGGCAGAATGTCCACAGATGAAGCGAGAAAATGCGTATGCAGCCACTTGGAGCTGCAGTGAAGATGAAGAAGAATATGGAGATGTTGGACGAAGGCAAGAAGCTTACATGGCTATTGGGGAAAGTGACGATGAATACAACTCGTCTCAAGTAAGGACACTAAGTTATTACTCTGATACTGGTAGTGAAAATGATCAGTTAAATGACACTATCAGGGATATACAGTTAGAAGTCAAAAATGTAAAAATTAAGTATTCAAAACTTAAATCAGAATTTGATCAACTAACTGTTCAGTATGCCAGGTTAGAGGAAGAAAAATCAGAACTAGATAGCGCGAATGACTGAAGTTTTAAAAAGAAAAGTTGAACTGGAAAGCAAGGCATCATAACTTACAAAAACTGCAAACATAAAAAGCACACAGAATAGTAGATTGTGGTATAAAAGTAATAATCATAATTCGGGAAATGTTGAGTGTTTTTATTGTCATTTGAAGGGACATTACATTGCTAATTGTAAAAGGAGAATAGCTAGGGAAGCTATATTAAGATCGACAGTATGTTTTAACTGTAATAAAACTGGCCATATAAGCTATGAATGTCATAACCCAAGACTGAAAGTGGTTAGTTCTAAGTTGGTCTGGTTACCTAAAACAAAATAAAACATTCATGTGATTAGGTCTGCTTCCAAGTGAGCATGGAAGACAGCGAGTGGATTCTGGATAGTGGATGGTCACATCATATGACTGGAAATGAAAAACTTTTCACAAAACTGATTAAAGGAAAGAAAGGTAAAGTCTATTTTGGTGATAACTTTTGTACTGATGTTCTTGCTAAAGGGGAAGTTGGAATTTCACCCAAAATTAACAATGTGATGTTAGTCGATGGACTAAAACACAACTTGTTTTCAATCAGTCAAATCTGTGGAGAATCCAACAGAGTAATATTTGAACCAACTACATGTTATGTAGAAAACATTGAAAGTGGAAAAATGCTGTTTTCTGGTAAAAGAAGAGGAAAATTATTTTGCATAAACTTAAGTGATAAAAGTCTGTTTAATGAAATGTGTCTAGTCTCAGTTGACAAGAATGATCAATTAGAATGGCATAGGAGACTTCGACACGTTAGTGTAGGCACTCTGTCAAAACTTGCCAGTCTTAACTTAGTAACTGGGATTCCCAGGGTTAACTGCAAAAAGGAGTTTTTTTGTGAAGCCTGCACTAAAGGAAAACAAGTGAGATCCTCTTTTAAATCTAAACAAGTTATTTCCACAACAAAACCTTTGGAACTTTTGCATTTGGATCTTTTTGGTCCAAGCAATATCATGAGTTTAGGAGGGAATTCCTATGCATTTGTAATTGTTGATGACTACTCTAGATTTTCTTGGGTGCTGTTTCTGGGAAGTAAAGATGAGGCATATAAAAACTTTAAAAATTTAGTTAGGCGTTTGGAAAATGAGAAGGAAACTAAAGTAATTAACATTAGAAGTGATCATGGGGGTGAGTTTATCTCAGAAAAGTTTGACAGATTTTGTGATAAGGCCGGTATAGCTCATAATTTCTCTGCCCCTAGAACTCCTCAGCAGAATGGTGTGGTAGAAAGAAAGAATAGAACCCTGATAGAGATTTCTAGAACAATGATAAATGAATATAGTTTGCCTAAGTTTTTCTGGGCAGAGGCTGTTAATACAGCGTGTTATACTATTAATCGTGCTCTAATCAGGTCGAAACTTAACAAGACACCTTATGAGTTGTGGAAAAATAGGAAGCCAAACCTGGGGTATTTTCATCCATTTGGATGCAAATGCTTTGTGCTTAACACGAAAGATAATCTGGGAAAATTTGACTCTAGATCAGATGAGGCAATATTTATGGGTTATTCAAGTCATAGTAGAGATTACAGGGTATATAATAAACGGACTCTCAAGGTTGAAGAGTCCATACATGTGGTATTTGACGAATCTACCAGTAAGTATGCAGATATCTTTGATGAGGATGATGATTTAGGACTGGGACATCACTCTAGAATCAATCAAGAAGCAACAGCAGAAGGAAATACCACAAAAGAAGCAGTGCAGAGCAGTAACCAGGAAAAATAAATTGAAGATCACACTGTTCAAGCACCACCTCACATACATAAGAGACATCCACCTTCTCTGATCATAGGCGACTTAAACAAAGGTAGGACTACTAGATCTCAAAATGCTACTGTGCACACAGCCTTTGTTTCATTGATTGAGCCTAGAAATATACAAGAAGCTTTAGATGATGAATTTTGGACAGAGTCAATGCAAGATGAACTAGGATACTTTGAACGATTGAATGTTTGGGATCTGGTACCTAAGCCTGAAAACAAACCAATAATTGGAACTTAATGGGTCTGGAGAAATAAAACTGATGAATTGGGAATGATTGCTAAGAACAAATCTAGACTTGTAGCTCAAGGTTACAGTCAAGAAGAAGGCATAGATTTTGATGAATCATTTGCCCCTGTGGCCAGATTGGAAGCCATTAGACTATTGTGTGCCTTTGCTGCTTCTAAGGGTTTTAAGCTATTTCAAATGGATGTTAAGAGTGCCTTTTTAATTGGTGAGCTTAAAGAGGAGGTGTATGTTGCTCAACCTCTAGGTTTTGAAAATCACAAGTATCCAAGTCATGTATATAAATTGGACAAGGCTTTATATGGGTTAAAACAAGCTCCTCGAGCTTGGTATGAAAAGTTAAGTAACTTTTCTGATCAGTGATGGTTTTCGCAGAGGATCAGTTGATAAAACCCTTTTCATAAAAACTGTTAAAAGTCATACAATTTTGGTTCAAATATATGTCGATGATATCATCTTTGGATCTTCAAGTACAAGTCTATGTAAGGATTTCGAAGCAACCATGAAAGGGGCATTTGAGATGAGTCTTATGGGAGAGTTAAAACATTTCTTAGGGCTAGAAGTTAAACAGAATAAAAATGGCACTTTCATCAGTCAGTCAAAATATCTTTCTAACATGCTTAACAGATTTGATTTAATCAATCTTAAGTCAGCACAAACTCCAATGGGATCAACATCAAAGTTAACCAAAGATGAGAGTGGAGTATCAGTCGATGTCAGGTTATATCGAGGAATGATAGGTTCTTTGTTATACCTTACTGCCAGCCGACCTGATATTGTTTATTGTGTAGGAGCTTGTGCTCGTTTTCAAAGTTATCCTAAAATGAGTCATCTCACTGTAGTAAAAAGAATCTTTCGGTATCTGTCAGGCTCAAAGTCATTAGGTTTATGGTACTCTAGGGACTCTAGCTTAGAACTTCTTAGCTATAGTGATTCTGACTATGCTGGGTGTGTTCTTGATCGTAAGAGCACCTCTGGCACATGTCATTTCCTTGGAACCTCTCTAATTTCCTGGGCTAGTAAAAAGCAGAGTTCAGTTGCCTTGTCAACTGCTGAAGCAGAATACATAGCAGCTGGACTCAGTTGACTCAATTGCTCTGGTTAAAATATCAACTTCAGGACTATGGTTTGGAAATAGGATCCCCTTCCATTCTTTGTGATAATACAAGTGCTATAAATATGGCCAAAAACCCCATTCAGCACTCTAGTACCAAACACATTGAGGTTAGATACCATTTTATTCGAGATTTAGTCCAAGATGGAAAGATTAAACTTGAATTTGTGAGCACATACATGCAATGGGCAGATATTTTTACTAAACCTCTCGGGGTGGAAAAGTTTCTGTCTATAAGAAATGAACTTGGCTTATTTGTTCTCGATGCAATCCCCACCTCTTGACTTTCTGATTTTCTAAATCAAAATATTCACCTTCCCTCCTTTGGGATTCTGACTCTTATTACAATGATACACCTTCCTTCTTCCTAGTCCTCCTCTCAGTATAAGAGCCATAGGGTTCCTTTGCGTATCAAATCATTCTTTCAAGTCCCCAAAACACTTCAAACAAATTCCTTACCAGGGCCCCAACAAACGCTCAGTTGCATCACTCTGCTGTTTTCAATAACAAAGGGTTTTGCAATGTTGCTGTTTACTCTAGGTATCTGAGACGATTCTGTGATCGTCCCATCTTTCCATCTCTTTCCATCCACCCTTCTGGATTCTCCAAGTATGACATGAATATTCCTGCTCTCCTTCATGGTCTAGGGAGGCAGTCGTTGGTGGAAAATATGTGATTTAGCTACTGTCCAGAGGCTGTCAGATTGTTCTATGTGAACATTCAACGTGGTCCTGGGACTGTTCCCAAATTTTTCACCACCATGGTGTTCAACTTCGAAATCAAAGTTACTCCAGAGCTATTGGCAATAGCTCTTGATCTCCCTCATACTGGTCTTTGAGCTGGCACAGACAGTGAGTTTGGGGAGCTGGGGTTTGATCTTGTGGCTGCTTTGAAATCTGTCAGTCGTGACATAGGTCAATACTTTCCATCTCGTCTTGTTGCTGGTCGTTTGCCTGACAATCTTATGGTTCTTCACTTCTTCATTACTAGGAGTTTCCTACCTCGTGACCTCTCTAGCACTGATATTCTTAATACTTCTGATCTATGGATCCTATCTCATGCTAGAGCTGGAAATCAACTCAACTATGCATCACTCATGTTCCATCACATGATTTGCTTTGGGATGGAATATTTTGGAGGTCCCCTGCCCTTTGGACCCCAAATCACTCGACTTCTGTGTTATTTACACATTGATCTGCATGATAAGCTGCATCAATGCAATGTCCTGGATGATCTTCATCCACAGCATGTGCTTGCTAAGCTTGATGCTCTTGTTGGGCCCCGTAAGCCTATCACTGGCTCAGGGGGAGTCAACACTGGTCCTGCACCCTATGCATTTACTGGCCCTGCGTCCTATGCATCATGGAAACTAGTTGGAGCACTAGTTGATTCTGCTGTAACCGTTATCAAACGTGAATCTTCTGGTGAAAGGGAGCAGTCTACCAAACTGAAACAACTTAGGCAGGAAGACCTGATGTGGCCTAAGTTTGTATATGAGTCTGGCTCCATAAATGATCCAATGAGTTCTGACTCAAAGTCTAATGAGTCTAGTGATGATGAGGGTGTGTCTGAGTACGAGTCCCCACCTGAATATCCTTTCTAAGAGATTGTGTAGGGGAGGATTTGAGATTGTGTGGGAAGTCTTGTAATTTTTTTTTTCAAGGTCATATGAATAAAAATGGTAGGGGTTCTGAATAACAAATGGTTGCGAATTATCTATCTTTGTATTAGTTTTTTTTTCTTGGAACAGACTGCACCTATTGTTTGTTACATGTGTGCAAGGAGCTACAAGTTAAGGAATCGAGCCAGTGACAAGCTTAGGAGGATTTTGTTGGAGGAAGCTTTGTCCACTGGCATCGATAAGCAATGGGAAGGTGGATCGGAAAACACTGAGCTAAAACCAAAAGAGGAAAGGATTAATGAGGCGAGTAATTAAGGGAAATCAGGCAAGAGATTGATTCTCCAGAATCTGAAGGCAACGGTTAGAAAAGTAGAATATAAAAGAGCAGAGTCTGAGTAGTCGAGGAAGCCTTTCGATCATATCTTTCAATAGCAGAAACAAAAGGGGATTGACTGTGTATTTGAAAGAAAAAAGAGAGGTAGCTGTCAGGGAGATAGCGAGAGTAGATAGTGATTGGAATTCTGGCGGGGAGCTGAATTCTGATCAGAAGCTTTGATCAAGTAACGGGGAGTTACTAAGAGATTGCTTGTAATCTGTCATCCGAATCACAACATCATAGTAACGTCAAAGGGCTCAAATCAGAGTTCCTTTGACCGTGGACTAGTTGATACTGATTTATCAGTATCTGAAACCACGTAAAAATCTCTGTGTCGATCACTGTCATTTCAATTCTGTTTATACCTTGATTCATCTCTGTTTTTGCAGCATAGTTTGTTTTGCGGGTTTACAGGAAGAACAGAGACACAGCAGGTTGAAGACATAAACCATACGCTTCCGTGTTGAGTGGGAGTCTGTCGACAGGCTTTGCTAAGGAAACGTTTGGGCTTTCAGCCCAACAACAAATCCGATCTTCTTACTTCATTTCATTTCATATCAAACTAAACATTTACTTCGTTTTATCGCCTTGCTACTCTTTCGTGCAATTTACAAAAGTCTAGGGTTCTTGTAGGAGAAACTCGAAGAGTCAGCCGCATCCTCGCGCTCGTCTGCACCAACACAGTGGAGGGTCCCTAGAGTAATAGCACTCTTGTCTAGAGTCCTTGCCACCACAGAACCCAGGTGGAGATCATGGTTCGTTGTGCGGATGGAGTGGATTAAGTACATGGACCGCCTGGTTAGGGTGCTGGAACTTTCCTCAGCTGGAGTGAAGGACTTCGCGAGCAAGTGGTGGAGTATGTGATTCTCGAGCTGCAAGGTGCTAGCTTCGTCCGCCCCGTATGGAAGGGGTCCTAACCGAGCTGAGCTAGCCGGGTGTACAAAACCTTGAAGGATACACCGTATGGATTAGTGAGCTCGGTGACATAATCCTTGTCATCATCCATGTCGAGGTCGAGAGCGACCGCCAAGTCATGGTAGCTTATGGAGCGGGGCTCACCGCCTAGCCTGAACTTGACGGCTTCGCTGTCAGCCTAGTCGGTGATCTCTTCGTGCCGAAAGGTCGTGTTGAACTCTAGCACCAGCTCGTGGTAGACCTACTCGCTCACCGACAACAGTCGGCGCCATGTGCGGTTGGTGGCAATAGCGAGGAAGTGCTCGTAGCAATTTACCTTCTCAAACTCCCTCCTTGACCAATAGTGATGCCTCCCAAACTTTGCTGCCAGGACGCACTTAAAGCGATCCTTCTGGGGGGCCCTTTTCAAATCACGGATAAACCGATGCTTAAGATCTGGTTTCGACATGGTCTGCAAGAAAGCAAACCAAAGTGGAGCCAAAATAGCCATAGGAACGGTCAATCACACCCCCACACTTAATAACAGAAAACAACCGAACCGTAGTTTCATCCATAGTTCGGGGTGAAATAACTTGAACAAATGGGCTCAATCAAGGGGGGGGGGGGTGCACATTCAAAATAAAGTAGGAAACTTAAGGTTCACATCCATAGCAAACACACCATCAAAACACATCATTAAGGGCCCCAACCGGCTCCCACAACATGGTATGAAAATCTGGCTTATCATCGAACACCTTGTGTGCACTTTTAAGTTAAGAAAAGAATGGGCAAATTACTAGCACACAAGGGCTCAATCAAGCAAGGGGGACATTTCCCAACACAATCCACACAAAAACCAATCCTTCCCCTCAATAAATTTCAATCGAATGGCAAGATTCAATGAAGTTCTCTAAATACACACCCTAACACCCAATTCTCAACAATTCACAAGGTAAAGGGCAAAATCAAACCTGGAGACACAAGTAGAGGTGTAGGGGGTGATGAGGGGAAGGCAAGGGATTCGATGAAATTCCAAAATTCTGCTTAGAAAGTGCTCGTCGGAGCCTCGCCGGAAATCACCTCCGATGACCCAAACCGGCCCAAATTTCCCCAAAATCAAGGGAAAGGCCGAAAAAGAGGAGGGAAGGTTGGGTATGGTGTTGGTTTGGTAAAAAACCGACCAAAAATGGCCGGAAAATCGCCAAAAAGGTGAAAGGTCGCGGTTTTCCGACGAGGGGGAAGGGGTTTTCTCGCTGACACGGCCGTGCAACAGCTTTTATAGCCGCGCAAGTCGCCACACGGGCCGGTCCACACGACCGTGTGGAGCAGATTGTGCCAGTGTGGCGCTGAGAATTCCACACGGGCTGGCCGAGGTTGTCACACGACCGTGTAGCGACCCCCTTCTGCCAGTGTGGAAATTCCAGGGGCTTCACACGGCCAAAGGGAAATTCCACGCGGCCGTGCAGAAATTCCAAGCCACCTAAACTAGGTCGAGTTAGGGCAATCCTCAACATTGAATTGAACAAGTCGATTAACCGTGGTTAAATCGTCCGACCTTAGAGTTGAGTGAGGAAGTAGGCCGATTACCGATTGTCTAAACCGAGAGGGTCGAGTGACACGACCTTTCATCCTCACCTGGGTTTAGCAATCGAGACTGTGGTCCCCAACCACATACGCTTTCCTCTGCGGTTCACGATTAATGTACCCAAGGCAATCGTTCCATCCCATGTAGCATAGTAGCGGTTTAGGGGGAAGCGAAACCCAAGTGACTTTCCCAGAAAAGAGTTTTGAAACCAATTTAATTTTGCTTTCCTTCATTTAAATAGGCAAACCTTTAAACCAAAGTTTTATCGCTAGATAATGATGTCAACAACCGAAGTACGGGTAGACGGACCAGCCCGGGTCGATATATAGATACCTGCCATATACTACACCCGATTAGAGTTTAAAAACTTGGGCTCTAATTGGGGTTTAATTGTAATGTAGATTCGAGCGAGTCAAAGAACATGTCTAAAACTTAACTAATAATTGTAGAAAGGGGCCTTTTCGAGTTACCTTATTCTCCCTTCCGACTTCTTCATTTGATTGAGGAATAGTGGCATAGGAGTCGGGCGTACTTGCTTCTTCCTCTTAGGGGCTGCAGTCTTCTAGGAAACATGATCATTCTTACAGGCCCTCGCATTGTGGCATTCTCCACCACATTTCCATCAATCAACTGAGAGGTTCTCCTGGATAGCAGCCTCCCTAATTCCATTCTTAGCTTGTCTACTTTAGATCTCCCAAGCCACCCTTCTTTATTTTGTCTTCGACCGACGAGGCATGCGCCTAATTCGAGGCGAGTACACCTTGTTCCCAAACGTGGGCATCCATGCTTGCCAGCCTTCTGATGGTGGAATAGGAAACTTGCATGTCGATTTGACAAATTCCATCTTGAAGAAACCACCAACATAGAGGTCTAGTTTACGTCGCATGCTTGTGATGGATGCAAAATCATGGCAACAAGGTATACCATTGAGTGCCCACCATCGATACGTATATGTCTGGTTGTTCAAGTCAACCACTAAGCCCTTGCCATCGACAGATACCTTATGCATCGTCTCAGAGGAAGGGCAGGTAGTACACAATCTCACTTCATGCTTTGCCTTTTCCAGTTTTCCTCTGATCATCGGTAGCAAGTTTGGTATGACACAACCAAGTTGAACTTCTGTTTAATTTCAGCCGCTATTAGGCTTACATCCCAACCCCCGATTTTCCCTAAAAGACTCGATAAATTCTTCTGCTATCCACTTATGGTCGGCTGTATGAATGTGAAGTGAACGCGAGCAACTGTGAGCTGGTCCAACTCCTTTCACCATAAATGCTTCATGCTTACAAAACCAACTTGCATATACCCTCCAGCCACATGAGTATTCTTTCTTTTGCGCACACACAACCTCTTTTCGAACTTCACCGCTCCTTACCCATTTGATATCAGCACCAATCTCAATTGATTGCCTCTTTACAGCTGCCTTAAACTTCTTAGGGGATCTAAAGCGCATATAAGTGACAAATTTCATTGCTTTATGATTGCACTTTGGATCATAAACCAAGGTCTTGTCAAATGTGGCATCATTCACATTCGCCAATGTTGCCTCTAACATGAGCAGACTATCTGCATCATCTTCTCCAGCTTCAGATGCCTGATTGCATCCCCAACTTGCACTCTCTTCGTTCTGCCTCGGATTATCAGTACTAAATTTTTTCTCCTCATCCTCAGATACTACTTGATCCACCTCCTTTTTCCTTATTTCATGGTACTCTTCATCAGATGTTTGAGCATCATCCTCTTCCTCTACTCGCACAAATTCAGGTACAATCGATTTTTCACCCTCCTCATCTAATCCATCATGCTCATGGCCATAGTTTTCATCCATAAATCCATCATCACTAATGTCTTTGGTTGCTTCAAAGTAGAGCCTCGCCTCTCCTTTAGATATACGCTGAGTAATCCATTCATAACCTCCTCGTATGAATGTATTTCGTGCAATCCAGTGGCCATACTTTGCCCCGGTGTCAAGTACCAAAGCCTTTCCATGGAAACATACTCAAAATCTTCAAGTGTCTTGGTTAACTCGAAATATGATAGCACATCGACAAGCATATTCACCACAATTTCATCACATCCCACGTACTTTGGACCAACCCCGGTCATATTTATAAATCCACCATGGCATAAAATGAGCTCAATTTGGTCTTCCATTATGCACATAAACAAGTCAAAAAACACACTTTTCTAAGCTCAAGACGACAAACACAAATCATCTATTATTGGTAATGTCCACTACA